GTTAAAACATAAATTCGCTCTTTTCTGGTAATGCAGATCTTGGGATATGATTTAGATACAGAGAGAAAGAAAGAGACACTTTTATTGCAACGTCGGGCAACTTTAGAACGATAATGTCGCGTTACAGTTTTGTTGCGCGTTAAATTTTCTTTCAAAGAAAATCCTGCGACGTCACGATATCTCCGTCTTTAAACAAAGTCCTGAATATATTTCCCGAATTATACTTGGATAAATATTATTATCGTCGTTGTAACAAAGGTCCGGGTTTCATTGTGTGTACCTACGTCGACGCGAGGGTTCTTCTTTCAGAAGATCACGAGCGATTTCCCCTTTGCGTTCTCTAACTCACGGACAAAAAAGCGATTTGCATTGTATAAAAGAACGTTCTGATAAAAGTGCGAAGAAGTTAGAATCGAGACTATTAGTGTGAGATAACTCGGTTTGCCCGGAAATAAAAGGAAAGATGGGAAACGTGAAAATGTGAAAACACGAGATGTGAATAGAATATATTGCAACAATTACGCGATTGCGAAATGGCAATTGATTCGCATCCGGTCACGTTAAAAACGTTTCTCATCGTTTTGTGTATGCGTTTCCCCCGTTTTTTTGCTGAGATGTCGATGAAGTACAATAGAGAATGATATATTTTTATTGGCCGCAGTTCTGGCGCCCAGAATAATCGAAAGTTTCGCAAGCGAGTCACGTGCGCGAGGATTTGTGATTTTGATCCTAATGTGCCCTACTCCTCCTGGGTGTAGTAACTTCTGTCTTATACAACTTGTCTTGGCCCTTGGCGCAATACACCAGTTCCGGTCCCAGTAACATTGCTAGACATTGGTCATGCATCTATTTCCGCCAAGTTTTAGAACTCGTGAACTTTCTGAGCTGTAGTTTGTCTTCCTTCGCTAAGTTTTCTGACCTCATTCTTTGAATCGCATTTGGCTGCCGTCGTTTTATCCTATCATCTTTAAATCATAAATAATTCCTTTTAATAATGTCAAATTTTTATTTTACAAAGCGGTGTATTTATATAAATCTGTTGTCTTAAAATCTGATTGTTCACATTTACAAGCAAATGTTACATATAAATATTGATTAAAAATATAATAATGCTTTATTATATTTTCCATTAATCAAACTCGGAAACAACAATAATAAATATTAAATTGTTTGTCTCTGTTATATATATTCGCGAATAATTATCAGGTTATACATGATGATAAATTTTGTGTGTATCTGTACGGTATCAGCGTTAAAGACAATATATAACGCGAAATAACAGAAAGTTAAATGAATGTAAATAATGCACTAATTGCGTTTTGCTAATTGCTTTCTTCATCGGAATAAATTATCGGAATTCGTTCCTTCGATGGGCATTTTTCTTCGTTTCACCATCGAGTCGAGCGCGTCAAGAGAAAAATCTGCACGAAATACCTCATCAGTTTCTGAATAAAATTTCTTATCGCATCTCTCTCCCTTCGAATTAAGTTCGAAGTTAAAAAAGTTCTCGATGAGTTCTCTGTGCCTCGATGGACATGCTGATTTCATACTGAGCGATTCATTAGAGAGCGACGCCGTATAACGATTATGTCTTTATTAGTAAAATTCACTCGCTTCGTTGACGCCAGAGAGAAATTCTCGCATGCGCTCGTGATGGTCGAAGCCCATTGAAAGTTTAATTTTTGAACGAAATACGCTGCAATAATTTAATGATAGAAGTTTCTTCTACCGAACCCAGGCGCATATATTGATATGTGGGAGTTGTTCGACTCGTCATTATAACAAATCAAATTGGTTTCATTTGACGTCCATCGTATTCCATTATTTTGTTTCCATCAATTTATGGGTTTAAATTGCCTTTATCATGATGAAATTTCCGCGTTTAGCGCAAGAATTTTTCCCGGATATCGTATATTATTTCCATATTATTTGTTATTTTCCCATGCACGATCGATTTTCTCAAAAACACATATAATATTGTATGTAGTATTCGCTCGACGATAAAATTTTTAGAAAACTTTTATATACGCGGCGATAAAACTGTTCTAAGATTAAACCTTATCGTGCGGTCAGCCGTCTATTGGAGGCGCGCAATGTCGGCTGAATGTATGCGCTTACACCACTGCTTTGTATGCGTCCGGTTATATCCGCTTCTCTACTACTTGAAAGTCTGACATATACACAACCGTGATCTCCTAACTATGAAAAACGGTTCAAACTTGCATACCTTTTTAAAGTTTCGCGAAAGCAATTGAGAATTCCCAGAGAAACTCTCGAGATATATATGAGAACGTATATAATTTTCGATTCCACGAGCGGGACAAATTTTCCTCATTGAATTTAGAACATGACGCGCCCGGTGCATAGGCTGTCGATACTTCATATTATATATTTCGTACGATTAAAAGACGTGACAAAAGCGATATCGGTTATAGAAAATAGATTGATTTATCAATAACTAAGTGAGAATATTTATTTATATTCGAAATCAATGTTTTTTAAATACAAAAAAAAACATCACACATTTTCCCCTTTTTGAATATAAATTTTCACATAATTTATATAAAAGTTAGAAATGAAAAAAGTTATAAATTCATCTCTCTGAAACGATACGAAAAGAACTGTGCTTTTGAATAAAAAAAAGAAACTATAACTTCTTGTCCTTTTCAATATTGTTCTTTCAAATCTCATAACTTCTTCTCAAGCTAGTTTTTTTCCATTACGCGTAAGAGTTATGGCAGACTATTCACGCGTATATGACAATAATTCGAAAGTGAACAGACATATACAAGTGAAAAGAAAGTACTAACTAAAGTACTAAATACTTTGTTTTTTATAAACAACGTATTAAATACTAATTTACAAATAAAACAATAGTAATTCGAATATTTAAATAGATCTATGCGTTTCAATAAATAGCATAATAGTGTAAACATTTCATAAAAACAAGATAAATCGTGCTCTTTGGTTTTTCTAGATGTATATTTTTGAAACTGTTTTATTTACTGAAACTCCTATTGATTTATTAGAAACATGTTTTAAAAATAACGTAAAGAAGCATTTGAATTAAATTTTTATAGAGCCAATGTCCTCTTTTTTTATTGCTTAAAAGAGACATTCGCTTCCTCTTTCATTTTTCTGCTCTTTGATTTTTCTAGATGTATATTTTTGAAACTGTTTTATTTACTGAAACTCCTATTGATTTATTATAAACATGTTTTAAAAATAACGTAAATAAGCATTTGAATTAAATTCTTATAGAGCCAATGTCCTCTTTTTTATCGCTTAAAAGAGACATTCGCTTCCTCTTTCATTTTTCTTGTGCTGAATAAGCCAAAAGCGAAGTTAAATAATGATTCGTGAAAGCTCACTCAGCTTTTCACGATGGAGAGGCTATAAAATTAACGATGAGCGATGACTCGTCTCTTTGTGGTAAGAATAAATAAATTATGCTAAATGAGACAGGTAGACGAGATTCTGAATATAATATTTTATTTTTAATATTGCATTTTTAGATTATATCTTTTTTACATAATTATTTTTTGTTTATTGTATATACTTAATATGTATATCGAATCTAAAAAAAGTTAATAAAAAGTTAATTTGGTCATTAATATAATATTACTTTATTCTATTGTTGAAAAAGAATATTAAATTCGAATCAGAGTAAAAAAATATAAATGTTACATTTTGAAAATGTGTCGCATTTTTTTCTCTATGAAAGGAATTACTCGTTCCGCAATTCCAGTTATTTCTTATCGATGAACTTTCGTTTCCATCGCTATCTTATTGTGCTGAATAAGCTAAAAGAAACTACAATAGCAGCTATGAGAGAATATACTTTCCTTTTCGTAAAAGCTCTTTCAGCAGATATTTTATTAAATTATAATACGGTAAAATATTCTGTATATGTTTTGAATTATTTATAATGAATGTGGTTGTCTAGAAAATTATGTGTAATAATTTCTTTATAGATAGAAGTAAGATATAAAATCTATTAATGCTATTTAATTTATACTCGTATATAATGAGAAATAGAGACTCGAAACATTTAATTGAATTAAAATAGTTGATTAAATCAAATTTCTAATTAAAACGGAAAATGCTAAGTCAACTAAAAAATTTGACAAGTAATTTATAAAATAAACTTTACAAAATTTTCGTGCACGGTTGCGTTAATACTATGTTATTCTCGCGATAATTCATTAACAATGCACCGACATTTAATGTAGAAAATAAAATCCGTGCGCCGCTGCCTCCCGACGCGTGACGGTGCGAATAACGCGTTCGACAAAGTGCGAAAATCGATTTTCCAAGCTCTCGCGAATGAAAACTTCCGGTCTTTAAAGAGGCTCATTATTTTCCTGCCAGAAACGACCGGTCGTAGACCGGCCGGCCTTTCCTCTTCACTCTTCCGTCGCCGTGCTAGCTGGAGGAGAATGGGATTTGGGATGGGGAAGCCGGGGTGGACAAGATTGATAAATTATCGGCTTGAAAAATGCAAAACCGATGCGCGCACACATTCACAGACGGGCGCTCACACGTTCGCGCGGCAGTCGTATTGGTGTGACATATCGCACAAGTAAGCCCTTATACGATGAATTCAGGCGGATGCATGTTCTCCACATAAATTCCGACACGAAGCTACGTCGCCTGTCATATAGGATGCACTGAAAAACTGCGGCCTGCGTCGAGAGTGTGTTCCTCACTTTTACGCCTCGTTGCGGCGCATCATCGTTTGACTGCGTAATTAAATTTGCAGCCTCATTTAATAGACGGCCAATTATCGACGCTGAATGAAAATGCATTAATTTCGTCGGTGGCCGCTTATTTATTTTCGACGAGTGTTTTCATTTTTCTGACTGTGTATATTATTGTTAAGCAGTTCGTAATAATAAATGTTTAGATGAATTATTCAGACTGTAATGAGTACATGTATTATTGCGAGAAAGATTGTAATTATATTCATAATTGGTAATTAAATGTTTTTATTGTTTCAGGAGGGACGAATATTATCGCTGTGCATCTGTTCATAAGGTCAGTATGTATATATAAATAATTGAAATTAAGGTTATTATCATTTTGTATAAAGTTGCTGTTTCTCAGCTTATATCTATTATATGCATATAAATGTACATATATATGTGTGTCTGTGTTTGTGTACAGTATATTGATACATATATACAATATATTATATATTGGAAAAATTGAAAAGCCTTCCGTTCAAACTTCTGTATGATAGATTTTGTATATAGTATGAAAAAATCTAATATAAGTTCCAATTGAAAATATATCAGAATATCTTTGGATATTCACTACAAGTCTGACGTTCGCCATGAGATTTTGATACCTCGCGAGATTTGAACAGTACAAATTTTTTGCTCAAGATTTTTTCAAACAATCTTTCAGAGGAGTTATATGAAGCGGTGTAATTCAATTTGCCGTACGGCACTTTTTTCCGTGATTCGAATGTCCTCATAAATTTTCTCTTCTGGCAGGCTTTGTAATTCGCTTGTGACATTGTAATGAGATTGGATGCGCGTTTGATCGGCTAAACCGTCGATATATTAGAGAGAGAAAGAGAAAAGGAAGAAGCGCAGAGCGCTATTGTAGAATGTAATTATTAATGAAAAATTATACGTATGGGAGGCTACAAAGAGATATAAAAATGCACTTGCAATATTAATGTGGCTATTCTGCGCGTATATTCATATTTATATAACTGTGTTTCTCTCAGGAATTACTTGATCGATTGAAGTTTTTACGTACATTATCTACGCTCTCTCGAGAAGAGAGATTTTACCTTCACAAAACTATCCAAATATACAATTTCATTCTGAGTAAAAAATTTAAATGAGGTTGTGTGATTCAATTAATCGAAATATAAATGCGAAAATATTAATAACAAAGTATCGAAGAAAGAAGTAAGATACAGGGTGTTATAAAAGTACCGGAATAGCAGAATAACTCGAAAAATATGAATCCTAGAAAAAATGTTAAGTACTGGGTTTTTATGACTTTTTCCTGGCTATCTGACGGTTACCTTAGCCAGGAAAAAATCATAAAAACCCAGTACTTAGCATTTTTTCTAGGACTCATATTTTTCGAGTTAGTCTGCTGTTCCGGTACTTTTATAACATCCTGTATATAGAGAAGTGTAACAATAATAATGCAAGGATAAAGATTTACACATATTGAAATTTTCGCTTTCTCTAAATACAATCAAACTATAATAATAACATAAGTAATTATGGATTACTTTGGTTTTGCATTGATAGACATTGTGTCATAAAATAGCAAACTTATTTGTAGAAACATGTGGTTAAAAGTTGAATAATTTATAATACGATTATATACTGAAATACACACACAAACCTCAAGTTGTGTGTTACGTGAGCAATTTGTATAAACTTGTATATTTAATTGCATCAGGATAATTTATAATTATCTGTCGCAGCTCAACCGTACAAATCTATTTAATAATAGAAAAAAACTCATTCTTAAGTCCATGAAATATCTTTTATTTGTTTTTGTGTTAATAATTAAAACCATGTTTTATAAACTGTTTAACCGGATTGAAAATACATGTAATTATGTATTACGCAGGCATACACAGTTAAAGTAAAAGATAAAACATTTATAAAGTAATTTGAAAACAATTATATGTTCTAATTACATCAGGCATTATTCATATCTTTATAACTCTATAAATAATCCTAGCAATGAAAATCTTTTCTATTTATATTATTATATCTTTATCTATTTGAATGATAATGAATAACAATGTTGCAATTATTAAGAGATAAACAAATTTATTTATTATATATTTATTTATATATATATTTATATATATATATTTATTATTATATATATTTTCTTGCGGTTGCAAATATTATTGTAATATTAATAACTGCACATATTTTTAAACGAATGTATTTGTTAATTAACGCAGATGTTTCACAATAAACGAGAAAATTAATTTTGTCAATTACCACGATATATAGTATGACAATATAATATTACGATATTGAAATGTATATTTTTATTTGTATATAAACTATAAAATTGTGTAACGCAATAAGTACAGAGTTATGAGATGAATATACTCTTAAAATTCTCAAATATCAAGTTTATATATAGTCTGTTGGTAAGGAACACTTGTTATTCGAACTGGACAGTTGTTTCAATTTTCATGTCGAATATCGATATAACATATCGATATTTCGATGTACACAAATAATGGAAGTGCCGAATATCGAATATTTTTTCACCTGCTATAGTAAAAGGTAATATTGGTACAATGTAGAAGGTACGTTGCATTTAGTCGACGAATTCAATATCGTGGATTTTTATTGTTATTGTAGTAAACAACGAACCATTGTCCTCGACATACCATGCCGCGTTAGTTTCGATGAGGCATTCATTTAATATGCATTACGCTGCAGCGCTACCTTGATAAATGCTGACCTGGCTTAAATCCCTCTTTTAAGCGCCATCGTCAAGCTAAAACGATATAAAATTAAAATAGGAAAGAATGTTAATTTTAAAAGGGTGTTAAATTTATTTTGAATTTATGTTAAATTTCTCTTCTCCTTGTTTCATATTAATATATCTTCTGTAATTAACGCAATTTTTTACCATGGTCATATTTTGTTCCTTTTTAAATTTAATATAGGTAATATATATTTTTATAATATGAATATAAATAATATATATATATTTTATTATATTTTTAAAAGTTTAATCTTGGTTATCTTTATGTGTTGTTTTTTAATCCCTTATTTATGAAACAATATTAAAAATTTTTTATGGATGAGTGGCTCGATGTTGTAAACATTTATTAGAATTATTTATGAAAAGAAACTTGAAGAAAAATAGATTGATGGATCACTAAAAAAAGAGAGAAAGAGAAATTAGCTAAAAGTAAATTAAAATTTATCTATAATATATATATATATATATTTGAAATGTGATAACTCTTAGAAAATATATATATACGAGTATATTGTTACATTTTTATCTCACCAAATATAAAATATTGCTCTTATTTAATATCAATGTTGAACGTCTACGTTCAAAAAAATTTACAAATCTTTTTCCAAATAGATTATTTTCTATTTCGAATCGCAACAAGATTATTCAATATTTCGCGAAAAATCGTGACTGAGTGGATTCATTTGTATATGCATGCATTTGGCGTAGCCAGTCGTCGAGTACGATCAAATAGATTTTAACGGAGTGCTTCCGATGCTGATATGATTGCAACATTGTCGCACGGTCAGTGGTCTGTAACGGATTTGCAGCAACTCGTGGTTGCTAATAAATATGCGATTAAATATGCCAAAGTATTCTATTGGAAGTAAAATTGCCCGATGGAATATATGAACTGACATATCATGCCTTAATGATTTTCATGTGTGCACAATGTTATAATGTTACTAATGTTAAATATTATAATTTTAAATATCTTGTGATTGAATTATACATTTATTAAAATCAAAATTTCAGGAAATAATAATTTAGAATTTCTCAAATACATTTTTATTCATATCTCGCAAGTTATGTACATATATATATATAATCGATTTTGTCTTTTGGTCTTTATTAATATATAAAAAAGTTTTATCTATCCTGTTATCAAAATTACAAAGTAAAATCTTGCGTGAAATTAAGTTTTGTAAGGTATATCGCGTTAAAAAGCCAATTTTCAGTTTTTTATTAAAGTCTGTATGAACGATGTCATAGAGAAAATTAGGTAAATTTATTGTAACGATAATAACAGCTTTTTGAACTAATGGATACAAATAAAATATACAAGGCAATGGAAGTTTACAGAAATGTTTGTAGTATAATATTTTTAAAGTCCACAAAATTTTATGTAATAATACATTTTTCCTTTTCATTTTTTTTTTGAGTTAAAGAAATAGGATTAACGAGATTTCGCACATGTGTAACAATAGAAGTTTAGTGCGAATTACGCGCCTAATTCTACCTTCAACAATTATGATGCGTTATAATTCGTAGTATATACTGCATGTACCGCTACAATTGGCGAGTTAAATGCGTTAACGCGATAATTCGATCTATCTCTTCCATGATGAAATATCGGAAAACGGGAGAATACGCGCGCGATCTAGTTTTGAATGCGCAGACGAATATGATCCTTTGTTATGTTTTTTTCAACGATTATCTTCTGTTAGATATCGTACACTGCGATAACATTGTGTTTGGCTAGGAAAGATAAAGGAGATAAATATATAGGATGGCTGTTTGTGTAATTAGCACGCACGTTACCGGGCGACAAATGAATCAGGCCTAATTGCATGATTCGATTTTCATCCGACATGGGCTGTCCTTCATTTGCGCTCTAATAATACACGCGCGCAGTGCAATATGCGAGCTACAGTCATCTCTATTAAGCTGATGCTTATGATTCTAGAGATAGCATGTTGGAGCTTCAACTTTAGTGGATATGCGAAACCTAATTTCGCTTATCCACTAAATTCTATTCTCGCGATAATACATACTACAGTTTATTGGCTGTTTTTTGTGTGTGTGTGTGTTATATATTAGTAAACACGTTGCGAGAAATTGTGTAATTTAAGTACTATGTTAATATTTCAATAATGTAGTGGCAATTATTATCTTGAGAGTTTATTCGCGAATTAATGAATCATGAATTAGGTCAATTGTCGATGCTTATACATTATACAAGATTCTCTCTCTGTTACATTTTCTTCTGCATATTGTCTCCATTTAATTATTCGATCTAGTAAGGCAAGACTATATATGGAAGTGTTATATGTATACGTACAATATGGAGAATACTATATATCTCGCCAGTAAAGGGCCGTAAAGCGCCTCGTCAAGTATTATCCATCTCGCGTGCCGTCTTAATTTGATGTTACACAGTCACGTGGAACTGCCTGCTCCAATTGAGTATTCTCGTAAGGGAAGCAGGGTCGCCGAAAATGTGGGCCGCTATTCTACCTCTGAAACCATCCCTGGCATGGTCCCTCATTAAAATAGTTAAGCTC